CAACAAACTTACTTCAGAACCAATTTTGAAACTATCAATTTGATTCAAGTTAATTGTTCACCGAATTAAGTGTTAAACGGGATTGTTATTGTTCCATCATAGGTTACATAAATAAGAGACCGACAAAGATTTCACGAGGTTCCTATCTAATTGATCATCGCTGCATATCGATGAATTTACGCAACGCTGCGTTCGCGTCGCGTCGTCGTCTGCGGTTCCACTTCCACATTGTTTCGTCGACGAGCTAGAATTGCGATGTTAACGGTGTTGGAATCATCGAATTTCATTATCTTTTCTAATGAATCATTTCGAATGAATTTTATTCCCCATAGGCGGCTTTGGTTTACTGATTTCTGTTATCGCATCATACAGTTAATCTCATTATTTTGATAATCAGTCCGATTACATTTTTATTCGTTATGTTGTTATCGTTAACCAGTGTTGGTAAACGTAATGTAAATATATTTATTTGAATCGTAAATAAAATATTCACCATAAAGTATCAATTACCTTGGAATATGAGGAAACTACTATATGAATTTAAATGACTCGAATGTTCTAGTTCCTTACTGATCTTGAACAGTTCAGTCAGAGTTCAAGGAATAAGTATACTGGATAGTAATTTCTCATGTTCATATATTTGGCAATAGTTGAATCATGGTTCATAGCCAATGGTACTTGAAACTTAGCAACGTGATAATTCGTTGATATTGTTTAATGAGTCACGTTTGTCAGCTGTCATTAAAATGTTTACAGTTTGTCGTGTACTTGCCAATACACGAAATTGCGAAAAGGACATAAATGCATGGCTTTATAGATTTATTAAAATCTATAAAGAGTCTGTCATTCTCTTACAGTAATGTTTATTGCATCTTATGTTCACAATGCATGTTGCTTGCTTATTCATGACTAGTTAACAACAGTTTAAATAAAGTGAATCTAGGAGATGAGCCTATAGCTCAGAACATATAAAGAAGGTCCCTATAGTATACGACTGGGTAAGCTCGTTTGCATTTTTGTTACATCCTAATCATTGAAGCATTTTCCTATAGATATATACTAATAAATGACAGCCAACCAATGCAACTGCATGTTCCTTTAATTAATCTAACATCAGATTTAATTTACTTTTATCTTAAGACTTTATAGTAAGTCATTGTGCAATTATCTTCTAGGTTAGATAGCCATCATTACCACAATTAAGGAAAATTAAAGTTTTTATAAAATATTTAAAGACAGGAATGTCCGCATCCATTTACGGCCATTGCATAGATTGTGCGCGTTCATACTATAATTTTCATGTTTGCTTAATACGGTTAATCGTCTTTCCAGACTGTTCTTGTAGTTCTAGTACAATGTTATTCATGCTAACTTGTTTTTACAACATTGCACACCGAGGTGAAACTTTTTTTGTAAATAAATATTCAAAGGTTGCATTAAATTTCATAATGCACCTACTTAAATATGGTTTTGAGTGTAGTGATATTTTCAAATGAGACTTAGTATGTGCGATATGTTCGTAAATAAAAATAACGCAACAGTTAAAGCTGGCAGGATGGTTGTCGAATAGTGGTGTGTAGTGCGTACGAGTCTGTGGCAGTGGGTCAGTGGTACCACAGGGCGCGGGCGCGGACGTCTGGCGCAACACCCTTACGTAAAACTGCGGACTACGGACCGAGGCCCGGTGAAAGTTGTGACTGCTTCATAGAACACTCGAGACGAAAACGTTCACGGTCCCCTTGCCATTTGTTACCGGATTTTCCTTCGGAAAGGATAAACATGCAATTAATCGATATTGGTTTATCGATTTTTAGGACGTGCCTACGTACGACAGTATCTTGGCATGTTTTTTTTCTGTAGGTAGACATTAACGTTATTTGGTACAGGTTTTAGCCTGATAACTGGTTTTATGGTGTGACGAAATAAGATGGATGGGTGTATATTCCATTCAGGATGTTACCGATGCCTACAAAAAAATAATTCGTAAGGTCAATAGCCTCGCAAGTTGTATATTTTTGTTGTTTCTAAGGCAACACTGCAGTATAAGAATATCATTGTCCTGAATTTTTAAACTTTGAACTTAGCATATTGTGTACGATAAATTTATTGCATTTCGAAAAAAATTTAAAAAAAGTATACTACAATCCAAAATAAATTGGCGAATCGTTCTTATAAAAAAAATTGCAACAATAAACTGACATTACTTATGGGATTACAAAAATAATTTTAGAATTAAAATTAATTAGACTCAATGAATAAATAACAATAATTTAATTATGAAAGCGTGTTCAAAATGATGAAGTTATGTAATGGTTATACTTGCAAATGGGTAATTGGGCTCAAGTGTATGTGAGTGTAAGTGAATTTTGCCGTGAAGAGCAGGTCAAGGTCGGCTACAATAGGCGGTTGTGCAACAGCTGCCTGCAGCTCGCTGTGTCGTGTCATCTCGTTCTCTTCAGCCACTACCGGCTCGCGCAGGCGCAGCCGCCACTAGCTGCGCTTATGCGATTTATTTCACGGTCATGATTTATAATTATTATCAACCTTGCCACCTGCCCTACCCGATTATTATACAGGTACATGGTGCCATGTTATTGACGTCTTTTGCATCTAATTTCCCTTGATTGTTTGCTTTAATAGGAAACTTAGCCGGGTTGACAAACTGCACTTCGATTCATAGCGTTAGCGCTTTTGTATCAACAAGATCTAGAATTTCGATGCCGTAACAAAGGTTAACAATTCACGGAACGTGACGTTAGTCCAAATACATATTATGAAGACGTGAGGTTTAGAAACGAACCTACGTGCCATATAACTTCCGATCGACCGTGAGCAACTACTTGACTTGCTGATTTTACTCGTGTAAATATCTCAACATTGATATTGTGGGTGATATTGGAATAATTATGTAAGATCTAATGGAGCAATTAATTTTATATGCCTAGAGCATAAAAATTCACGATTTTAATGTTAAGGTCTGCCTAACCTTAGTCTGCTGATTTTATTCACAAAATTATCAACCAAGTGTCAGATACGGTCAACAGCAATGTAAACAGGTCTAGCGGTCGGTCAAATCGCCGGCCCCCTAAGCTTGACTTACTTGCAAATAGCTTCGTATAATATGATGCAACTACGGAATAATCAGTCATTCCATATGTGAAATCTCCAGTTTGAATGGCTAGATTGTAAGGACTATGCCGCAATATGTTTGCCTGACTTTCACCGTTCCACCTCCATTACCATATTTTCGGTATTATAGCGATTTTATTAATTTTGGGATATATAGCGTTAATATAATATCCAGTTAAAGGAAATTTGTTAATTTTTCGATGTTATTTCACTTGAATTCCTGTAATATCTTGATTATCGCATTTACGTACGGGACAGGTTTTTCCAGTCCGATAATGTATTATGAATACATAAGTCATTGCCACGTGTTACGCTCTAAAAATATTAAATGTTCAGCTACAGGTTATGGTCCATTAGACTAAAATTAACACCCCAAGGTCCCGTAAATTTTGTGAATAGTGACTGAAAACAAACGTTATTATTATGTTGCATTTATGTCCCATCACATTCTATTAATTTAACAATATTATCTATGGACATATTAGCAATCCGCCATTTAATTCTATAAATGGGGACATTTCAAATCAGCAATATTTTATCAAATTCGATGTCTTCTATCTTTGAATAAATCTTTGTCAATTAAAACTTAAAATGTAGCTTTTAGTTTCTAAACATTAATATAAAATAGTGATCGTAATTGGTATCCACTCGTTAAGTAACTCTATCTGTCTTTCTATTTACAGCACCATAGAAAAAATCGATATAAAAACGCTGCTTTAGAATAACTAAATACGTCAACGTCATAGCTTAGTATAATTTATTTATCCCGGTTCCAATAAGGTGGGCTCTAGTAAAATTATCAGTATTTTGCATTACTCTTTTATGAATCTTGTGTCTGCGTCATTGTTAAGGAAACCGGAATTCCCTAAGGCTTAGCTAAACACTTAGTTACCTCTAATAGTCTAATGGTTTCTCAGTTAATTATATTGAATGTGTGAAAATGAAGTAAATACAATTGAAAAACGATTCATATAAGAATTAAATACTTGTGCATGAATAATATATTTCAATTACGACAATACTAAATAAATAATCAGTTATGTAAATAAGTATTTATTTGTCTAATGATTGCTTTTACCTAAACTGAGAATATGATACGAATTGCAAATATTTAATAACTAACTTTAGGTATGTAACGACTAATTTAATATTAATGAAGAAAATCGTACTCCAAAGTGGGTAAACTAATCCCTACTTATGTTTGTGGTCTAAGATCCGATATAACATTGACCTTCACCGATCTGTTTAACGGATAGAAATTACTCGGTAGGTACTTAAGTTCATTAAAAAATATTTTATTTGTTATATATATAGGTAAATGTTTATTTTATTAAATATGTATTTACATAAATTCTTGACCAAGTTATGTGTGAGGAGAAGATATATGGATGAGGTGTGACAAGAACTGTGTGTGATTTCCTTGTGCATCGACGCAAAAATGTGTGATTTCTGCGTCGCACACACTTTATACAAAAAGTATAAAAAATCCACTGAATGTTAATATATAAAGCAATGGTAGCTATTTTATAGTGCCTAATTCGTATTATTTATTGATATTTATTTCTATCTGTAGATAAATGACGAATTTTACTGATCCTTTAACCTTGTGCTAAAAGTTTTACAATTTTGTGTAGGTCACTATGATCATGACATGTCCTTACTAATAATCATGTGGCATTGACTGTATTCATATAGAATTTTCAATTAATTTTAAGTACATTTTATTTATTTTTTTGTTTTAATATCTGTGAATTTTAGCTATTAGTTCTTAATATACATGCAACTAAAGATTAGTTTTATTCAGCCTCTGTTATAATTATTTATTTTCTTTGTTACAGATTTAATTAGTCGATAGAGAAACCTTCCCAAAGATGGCTACCATATACAATTGGTACAGAGACCTAATGGACAATAGGAGTGGTAAGTATTATTTTTATTTCATTTCACAATTATTAGGTATTATTATATTTTTTTTATTAAAACGTCATATTGTTATTTTACACCTTCATTGTCTTTGACAAAACCTTCGGTTATTTGTTACGTATTGTTTGTTTATCGAATGTGTTATATAAAGAACATTTTGGACATCAATTATTCATCGGTTGAACTTTGACATTTTTACAATTGTTATGTACTTAAAAGATGTTATTTTAAAACAAAATTTCATTTCGTAAGTATTGATGCGAAATAATTTTATGTTTATTGAGGTGTTTTAACAAATCTTGTGTTGAGTGTGAAGACAACGCGCATCGATCGTGTTTTGTCGAGTCTAAGAGTTTGCTCAATACATTACATAAGAACTGCGGAACGATTCACACTCAGGCGCAACCCCACTCCTGTAACGTTGCGCCTTCTCCGGCAGAAGTTATGTCAACTGCGCTGGCGACCTCGAAACCCATCAGTCTCGATTACTGAGCTACATACATACACTATAGAAAATACGCATCAACTTTTTATACTCGTACACTCTATTTCTCTTCTCATAATTTATTTATTTACTCATTTTTACTTCATCGGACCTATCGACTGTAATCTCGATAGGACATCGGTCGTGATGTAAACTGTCCAAATTATTTTACATCGTTAATAAAAATGTAAAACCTATTTCAATGTCATTATAAACAACTCGTATTACTGTCAAACTTATTGAAATAAAAAATATCTCTAAATATTTATTTGTACAGAAAACATACCATTAATTATCAATACTGCGTACTTATATATTTATCGTAGATACTATGTTTGAAGTCGTTTAATAAAATACAGTAGCTATTTTATACGAAGGAAACTTATATATATATACGGTAATCGTATAATACTTATATACTATAAACGATTCCGCATAAAAAAACCAAGAGGTACCTACGTGTATACTTTTAAACTAATAGACTGTCAAAGTACAATTTTAATTAATTCTTCTATTAAATCATTATTATTATTGCTTATAAATTAAAACTTTGGCATATTAAAATTTTACAACTACCTACTTACGTATAACCTTAATCGTAAAAATACGGAAAACGTCTGAAAAGTATATAGGTGATTACTTATCAGAATTATATAATACTGTTATCGATATGAGTAACTGGCTGAACTTGAGATAGACCCAATTGTGTTATCGGCTGATAATTAAACATCAGACATTCTCATTTCTCTTACGATAGTGAATCATGAAGTAATTAATCATTCCGATAACAATACTTCCGTTACTCTAAAGTATTGATTTAATAGAGTAGATGCCTAATTTTTATTTTAATGTCCGTTTGGTAGATTATTTTAAAACATTAGACACGTACTTTTTATTTTCTTACAGAAACGAATACTTTAGACGATATATTGGTTTTAAATGTCGCGTGACGTCACTTCTATGTACTTTTATACGTAGAAATGACGTTTCAGCCCCCACTTCTAAATTTTGATTCGTTTTATCTAAGTATCATTTTATTATACAACAAAGTAAAAAAAATCGTGTCTAATATTTTTTCAGTACCTAACTTACGAGCTAAATAGATTTTTAATTTGCATAGCCTGTCATCATCCGAATTATAGAAATAATATAGCTATGTTCCATCTCTAGCATATTCATAAATGACTCGATATAATGTAAGTAATTGAAAAATCACAAGTTCCTATACACACAAGGAAAATTATAGCGAAGTACTTTGTAATATTTATATAGCTTATAACCAAAGTACACTTTGTCTTGAACAAATGTTTGTATATTTATATTACTCTATTGATATTATATATTTTTTCTTGTATAATTTTCCTAGCTCTACTAGGTATAATGTGTAATTTATTTTCTAATGCTATTTGTTCTAACAGTTCACACAATATCATTATAATTTATTTTATGTTCCGTACAGACAGAATTGTAATGTATTTTAAACAGTAATTTATTTTATATCTACTTATTGAGTTGATAGTCTACAAAATGGAAGGTTGATGATGTTTGGTTTTCCAATTTCTAGATCCCCGAGTCAAGGACTGGCCGATGATGTCATCGCCATGGCCCACACTAGCGGCGTGTGTCTGCTACGCGTACTGTTCGCGGGTGCTGGGCCCGAGGTTCATGGCGAATCGGAAACCCTTCGAACTGCGCAGCGTGCTAGTCATCTACAACCTTGCACAAACAATATTCAGCGCCTGGATATTCTACGAGGTAAGGGTACAATCCACCATCTTGGGGTAAATAGCCTCACAGGGTAAAACACGCACGGCAGGCCAATGAACTTGGCAATCACTTGATATTAGAAGTAACAGTACCTCGGTCACGCAAGTCAAGTGTTTATATTCAATTTTTTATGTTAAGATCACCATATGAACTTTCCAACCCGGCCATAAATTAACGTCGTTTGACCATTACCCTTTCGTATACTTTTATTCTATATGCTGGTTATTGTTATCTGTACATCTTACCTTAATTATGTTTCTAGAATATATTGGTACCTAAAAATAGAATTAATGCGGAAAATACGTTTACAAAAAACCTTGTTGTTTGCGTGGTTCTTTTTGTAATGTGTTGTTTTTGTTTTTTATTCACAGTACTTGATGAGCGGCTGGTGGGGTCAATATAACTTTACGTGTCAACTTGTCGACTATTCCCGAAGTCCGATGGCTATGAGGGTAAGATCGTAACTTCATTTTCCATTTCATATTGTTTCTAAAAACTTATACTTTATCGCATTGAATACCAGTGCCATTCATTGCCGATGTTTAAAACTTTATAAATAGAATTCTTTGAATTAAGAAATAGGTACGATATGAATAAAGATGGAGTACAAGAAATCAGTCATATAAAAAAAATATTAATGAACTTTTTGTTGCCTCTATGTCTATATCGCAAAAAGTTTTATTTTCGACTTGATGAATTTTCTTAATTACTCAGTTACACAAATGAATCGAGCGTCTAGTAAGTTTTTATTAAGGTATCTTCGTACTACTTGCAATAACTGGCGATGTAAAAATTCCGTCATCGTCCCTCTAGTTTAGTAAATATTTGTTAACAAAAATTATACTTTGAAACTGCTTTGAAATCCCATAAGATAAATAACCGTGATAATGACAATAAGAGCCTCTTTAACCGCTAACACAATACAATAGACTATAATATACAAAAATAATATTTCTGAAACTTAAATTACTTTGTTACTATAAATCTCACATTAGAGATAACGAAATCCGGTAGATATAAATATTAACATATAAGATATTCTCACAGTCACTATATTTTTTGCGTACATAAAGTAAGTAACTATAAGTAGTATCAATGACCATCGTTTTATTTTAAAACTTTTGAAATACAAAAAAAAATCAAGGTAATAAATGATACTTCCGTCTTTGACCTGATAATTAGAAACGTCTACATACAAAATAATAATATAGTGTCAACATAAGTTTTACGAACGTAAATGACGCAAGAAGGACGCGTTCATTAGCGATTCCCCGTGCCTTTGCTTGCTAAACCATTAAAATCGTGTAAAAAAACAATAGTAATTATTATTAATGTTTAAATAGGTACCTAAATAAAACCTGTTTAAATAGGTACCTAAAAATTTACCTAAGTAAATGACAAATACGTATCGGTGACTGAGTGATTAACCTCACTTATTACGCACGCGATAAAGCAAATCGTATATAATATTGTTTACGATGTAGTAAGTTTAGGCAGGTTTAATAAGCTTCTATATAAACTGTAATAATCTATTTTGTAGTGCATGTATTATTTAGAGACATATATAATATATTAATATTGCATATCCACCTAAATGTTTATTGAAGCGATTTATTACCAATACTTTTATTTCTTAATGCGTATCGTATAAATTTTAAACCGAATCGCAGTTTTTGTTCGAGCAAATTGCGAAATAGTGGCAAAAAAATCAGCTTAACTTGTTGTATGTTAATTATAATTATTATAATGGGCATTAATAAGAAAATACAAGTTACTTGAAATATATTACCATGTCTCATGAATAAAATATTAACAAATAAAGCACTGACCCACGACTTTTCAATGTTATAATTTCTGGTTAATATTATACTTTTAATTGTAGTTTAACCTAAAATAAGACCAAGTGTGCACAGAGAATTGTGAAGTGTGGTGTTATTTATCTATCTTTAAGAACTACCACATTGTGAGGAAGAGTGAAGCATTATCATGCAAAAGGGTCTCAGGTTCGATACCTGACTATTTTATTCTTGTATAAGACACATTTTTGTATAAGAACGTCTGAGCACCTCTGATATATTATTTTATAAGGTTATCTTATAATCAATCTTCTTACTATACAGATGGCGAACACATGCTGGTGGTACTACTTCAGCAAATTCACGGAGTTTATGGACACGCTTTTCTTCGTGCTGCGCAAGAAAAACGAACACGTGTCTACTCTGCATGTCATACACCACGGCATCATGCCCATGTCGGTGTGGTTCGGACTTAAATTTGCACCAGGTCAGTTAAAAACCATTCTTTTTCTATTTGTATTTGATATCAGAATAGCCTGTACTAGAGTTGGCTACTAACAGTTAAACTTTCAATGAGTGACTGGCTTGAATCCCAAGACAGTTTCTAACTAAAATGAGACTTCCATACTTCCTTCCTTCTATACCAATGCTAATCTGTCCTGGCCCAAGTAGTCCCAACACTAGTAGTTTTACATTTAAAGTTGCTATCATACAAACTGCATTGCAGCAATCGCTTCTAATCGATATATTCAACTGTTACTCACGATATTAACACACTGTTCATTGCCTTTTACCTGCCTCTGGGTCAACTGCACCAAGACAGATTCTTCTGATGGCATGGCTTAAATAAACAGTCCAGCCTTACACGGAAACCAAAAACACTAATTATTTTTCATATTGATCCAAAACGAAGGTTATTTAACCTTCTGAAACCGTATTAGAAAGTAGGAAGCTATGTTAATATGTATTAAATAAGAACGACTAGACTTTCAGGGTACCACATTAACCTTGTCCATGTTACTGTACGCGAGTAGGTATTGGCCACTTTTAGGGTCATTGAGGTCGTATTTTTAAATATAAACGTCCAAAGTTTTAAATTGTTCTAAAAAATACTAGTGATGCTATTGTTCCAGTGGAAATGAGTTAAAGTAATACCAGAGTATCGAATTATTAGGCTTTGATTTGCTTTTCTCTGCCATTATATAACGGGTTTTAAAATTATAGTTTTATCTGTGACTAACATACATAACTAATATTTCTATAGTAAAAATCCGCGGATAAAACCAAACCAAAACTAATTTACATTAAATAATAAACACGGTTATAATCCCCAAATTAATGTGGCATGTCATAAAAGAAAATGGAACAAGCAGCTCCGGAATTGTCAAGGGATCAAAGTTATAATTAACTAATGGGCTCTGTTAAACACGCGTTAACATAGAATACGTCATTGCAGTACTCCAGATAGGAATAATTGTATTATTCATACGGGAAAATGATTAAACAACATTCCTCGACCTCATTTAATACTTCATTTAATGAAATATGTAAATAATTTTTGTGCTGTCCAATAACAATTAGTTTTGAATTCCTAAATATAAATAATAACAAGTCTATAAATGACAACCAAAAATAAATCGACTCCCCATAAATTCAAATCACACGACTAATCTACTATATTTTTTTAATTTAAGAAGTTCTTAACGTCGATTGACGCTAAGCTTTTGCCGGAATGCATGGTCACCTGTTTGTCTAAAAGATACGAAATGAAATTAGGTCAGTGCGTGGTGACCACACATTACTTTTACTACATGCATTCCAGGCACGCACTTGCCGCAATTGAGCTCAAAGTTATAGCAACATTGTATTCAAATGCACACTAAAGGTACACTGTTTTTAATTTAATAGAGTAGTTCAGGTGAATGCGGCTTTGTTTGATCCTAATCTTAATGACATCAAAGGCAATAATTTTAATATTAATACGTGTATAGCATTATAGGGACACTGCATGCACGACATCAGACATGTCATTACTGTAGTAGATATAGTTCAAAATCTATTTAAATGAGCCACTTAGTACCGCCGCAGCTTTGAAGACTAAGAGGCACTGAGTTGTTTAGTAGTAAGAACCTTTTACAGGGCCAAAAGGGTTCAAATTCAAAACCTGTAACCACTCAGTGACTAACCTCTTGATCTATGATAGCTTGCAGCTCATATTTCCTAAAGTTATGAGATAAAGCGTAAATTACTTAAAAGTACTCGAAACTACAATTCTTTAAAATGTTCTCAGAAATCGTAAAGGTACGGAATTTTTCGCTAGAAAAACTGTTTTGTAAAATATTTGTACATCTCGTACGTAAGGTACATTGTGTACACAACACGAACTGAGTAGATATCAAAGGTCTATAATTTATATTAATATTCATGCGGTAATCATAGATATCTTTACAAATACTTCCTAAACAGAGTTTTGGAGGTACGTAAATTGACAAATATAGGAAATATTTGCACATTAAAACCTCTTTAGCATCAATAAACTAATGTTTGTTACTTCCTTGTGTATCATCCTTGCCTGCGGCCAAGGTTTGTTATCTTATTTGAATTAAAACATAAAAGTGTCAGTTTTAATAAAATAATGAGTTATATGGGAATTCCATCGGTTTCTTTCAATTATATAACAGCCTCATAATTAAGTAGCCAACCTCGATTACCGAATTAATCGATTCTATTTTTGAAATTTCTTACTAAATGGAGAGCGTCACTTCCGAAATCACCATTCCATGTATGGCAAACTTGAGTATTTAGGTGGAAATATTTAATTAGGTTGATCGATAATGCAAATTCCAAGGTACGCAATTTTGACGTTTTTGGACACGCAAGGATCAAATCCAAATTCGTGTTTTCTACAAAATTAGGAAAAGGTTACGAAAGGTGTTTTATATAATAGTGTCCTCAATTTCGGCATGGCAATGGGGCACCATATTGAACACCATAAAATAAAATAGTTGTGTCGCAATATATGATTGAAGCTGCCATATTAACCTGTTATATTCCTTGAATAATGATTAAAAATATAAAAATACCTCAATGTATAATGCGGTATCAATGAATTAGCGAACACATCCTTAAGTAAAAGAGTTAAAGGAAAACGATAATTTGTCAAACAAACAATACAGTACTTTGTTTGCGTGAAGCTTTTATACTGACGTTATTCAAATCCGTGTTCCGTTTATTTACCTAAATTATCTATACTCTATTAGATCACGTACAAATGTGAACATGACGTGTTAGTGTTAACACAGAATGTCACTTTTTGTATTTATTTGCTGCTGTCGTGTGAATTGCGTCTTACATACGTAGGATCACCAAAAACGTAAAACTCAAACTCAAAAGCATTTATTTCTATTAAATCATAATTTGGTACTTTTGAAAACGTGAATAAATATTAAATAAATAATAGTCTGTCAGTCTGTCCGTCAGTGAAGCTAGATGCTCGTTCCAAAAAGTAGATTCGAGTGGAGAAGAACGAGCAAGAAACTTCATAAATATAATGGTGTTTTTGATTCCTTAAGCAAGCATATATAATAATCATACCTATATACGTATACACAAAAATGTTGAAAAAAATTGTTGATTATGGACCTGCGGCGTATAGAAAAAACATATATATTTAACTAGTACAATAAAATATAATTATGTTTAAGAACTATAATAAAACAAAAGGAAATTCCAAGTATACATGTCATATTCCTTATTAAAAAAAAGTGTATGCCTAATATGATTTGGTAAATAACTAAACTTTATGTTTATGTCAACAGGTGGTCACAGCACATTCTTCGCGCTACTGAACACGTTCGTCCATATCGTGATGTACTTCTACTACATGGTGGCTGCTATGGGTCCCAAGTACCAGAAGTACATTTGGTGGAAGAAGTACCTCACTGCCTTCCAGATGGTAAGTTTTAAAAATAAATTAAAAACCGCCATAAATCAACAGACTTACTTACACACAACATACAGACATTACGCAACTACAAAAAGTGTGTGTAACATTGTTCCTCCTTAAATTGATAGAGTGAATCAAGATGATTCTGTGAAGGACATTTCTTTTAAATTACCTAATTATCCGACATAGCTTATACTCTTAGACTATTTGTTTAATACTTGTATTAGAATTAAAGTATTGAAATACAATATTATCATGTAAGGAGTTCCGGGTTTTCATCTAATAGCTCTGCTAATATTTATACTAGCAAGAAAAAGTATCTAAAAGATTGAAATACGTGAGAACTAAGACAAACATTGCAAGTTGTTTTGAACTATAACTGAAATGATGGAGAAGTATGAATCAGCAAGGATTAGTCTTGACTCTGGATAATTTCGATGGTATCTAATAGGTTATATTCCCAACAGGTCCAGTTCGTGATGATCTTCACTCACCAGCTGCAAGTATTGTTCCGGCCGTCGTGCCAGTACCCTCGCGTCTTCGTCTACTGGATTGCGATGCACGGATTCCTGTTCCTGTTCCTCTTCAGTGACTTCTACAAGGCGAGGTACACCAAGAGCGACAGGAAAACACGCAACAATGGACTTTGTATGGTGAGTGAGGCTCTAACATTATTAATTCAATGTTAATTCAAAAGTCAAATAGCACATGCGGTAATATAACGCGCTTCCGTGTCCAGTAGGAAAAGTACAAAATACATAAAAGCATTTGCTTTTAAAATTATAAAATGACGTCTTAACTTCATTTTAAAATCATATTATGGTAAAGTTTTCAAAAGAATCTTAAGAACTAACTTAGAAAAGCTGCCTAATGTGTGTAGCAAAAGTGTTTTGCACCCTGATGTTTGCAAGACAGTCACGCGTGTAAATTTGCAATTACCACATCGGGACTATTTGTCGAACACTTCAGGGCGCGATGCGAATCTACGTACCTCGTTCAGATTCGTGCGTCATTACACGAGTGGATGTTGACATTGACGGGCTATGACTAAAATGCATATTGACATATGATAATAATGTATCGTCCTGTTTCAGACCGTCATGGATGACAGCAGCAGTTCGCTGAACGGCAAGAACGGGTACAAGCAGGAGGTGGAGCCCGAGGTGCCGAGCTCGTACGCGTCGTCCGGTGCGGACGCCTTCGTGCGGCGCCGGCCCGTGTCATAGTGTCACCGGTCTGTGTCATAGCGCCGCCGGCCCGTGTCATAGTGTCGCCGGCCCGTGTCATAGTGCCGTTAGTGCCACAGTTCCGCACTGTGTTCTAATGTTACAAAGACCATCTCGAACCTTCCACGATAGTGTCCATCCGCCGCTCACCTGAGACTGATGTTTTACACTAGGAGACTGTGTAATGTCGCTCGTGCAAGATGCGACGTGAGTGCATAGTGCGCTGACCCCGGCCCGTCCGGCTGGCCCGTCGTCGCGGTCGAATAATGTTTCAGACTATATTTCTACAATGAATTTAGATATAAACATTATTACTTCTATAAAGTTTGTTGATGCACAAAGTCACTATTTTGGATCTTGCTTGGATTGTCTGCCTTGTAATTGTTTTAAGTACAAAGTATGATTATTGAAAATTTCTATATACTGTTGAAAATCAAAGTCTCGATTGATGTGAAATCTAGTCGCGTTTTGGCGATGTGTTGTTTTTCTATAATTAACAGAAAGCGAGGGTCTGTTATCGCAGTCAATAAATTATGACAACAATTATTGATCAGGTTATTTTTGTCACAATAAATATTGGTACATTCTCGATAGGCGAAAGTGAGATGGGCATTTTGTATTATGTATATATTTTATTATTTTAAAATTAACTTAGTTATGAATGGTATCATGTGTAACGAGGTGTATTAAAGGTTAACGGTTAATTTTTGTAAATATATTTTAATTATTAGATGCTAATTAAAACAATAAATAATTATGTTACCATAAATTTGTTAGATATATCCAGTGTAGAATTACTAACAGCAGTTATTTTCTGCCTCCTGTGCCCTGTGCTCAAGTACCTCATACTTCCGCATGAAACCTTTACAAATTAACTTGTTGATACATTCGTGAATGAGAACAATGTGAACAAATTGACATAACATGTGGTTATGCACAATGATCTTTTCGATTTACTTTTTATATGTTTGTAACGTTCGGGGACTGTGCACAATACCTTGCAGTAGAATTATCGCAGCGACGAGCATTACGTTAGGTAACTGAAGTACTGTGTGTCATGTACGTGTGTGGTCGAGGATTGAGAAGTAGTTACGGTAGCTAGTTAAGTAAGGAGGTATGTGCGCAGTGCCCGGGCGCCATCGCGATACTATTTAAGTATTATTTGTATCAAGTTCTGGTGTTACGATGCTTTAAGTGTTGTGCAATGTGGAGTGCCGGTTGCTTACATCGCAGGCGGGCGAGTCCGCGCGACACAACAGTCTGCTCAAGTAATTGCTGCGAGTACACTCTTTTGCAAGTTTATTTATTACTTTAATAAAGGATTTTACAATTGATTCCGTTTTTTATTTATATTACAGCCTGTCATATAATTATTGCGTGCGTTTTGTTACACAGTACAGATATTTTACTTTTAATGCCTTGATTAATTAATTAACCGATTGTTCATTTTACGTTTAAACATCAAGATACCTTTAAATGTCCAATATCTTTAATAACAACTTTATTACAAAAGAATAAGGTTGAAAAACTTGAATTTTTAGTTTATCCCAAACAAAAAAATTCTCTAACTCAGCGTCTAGTTTGCAACAATGCGCTCATTATACTCTCATCTAAATATACGAAACTCGTTTTTCCCATGCATATAACTGAGGAGGTAATAAATCTGGGATCCCCAAACTACTGGCCTGACCAAGAACCTATCGGAGCCATGCTTTCAATAATGTAATTAATTAAAATAGGTACTAGGAATTTTTTGAATTAATGTCGAAAAACGACAATATTTGCATATATGTCAGCAAGTGGCATTCATTACATCACTAGTAGATACCTAGCGAAGAAAGAAACGAATCAAGTAAACCAATGTAGGTACATACCTACGACTATTAGTCGTACGATTTTGATTATTTCCCAAATAATCAACGTATGCAAAATTTATCTCGATATAAGCGACACGACAATCCTCTTCAATAGTTTCAAGATCAAATTAATACTGGTCATTTATATCATTATGATTAATTTATTAACATACCTACTTAAACCCATAAAACTGATATTAAATGGAAACAAAGTACATACCAGTACGTATAAATGAGTGTTTTCAAAATAAATTCCAACACCTGTTTTACGTTAAGCACCCATAATGATGGTGTCCAAGGACATATCTGGGTAAATGTCTATGTTTATATACAGCTGCCTAAGTACCTACGTTGCCCAATGGAGTAATCATTCACAAATAATGTTATTATACTGACTTTAGTCGACCCCTAGTATTTTGCAGTAACGTTACGCCATACTACGAAAATTATTAGGAATTATTACTGGCTCAATGTCCTTTGCGACAACCTATCACTATCATTTCAGATTAGATAGGACTTAACCTACATAATATTAATTTTATATAATGCCTTTGTCACATAATCATGTATTGGTGCTGGTGGTCGAGTGATCGCAAGACTCTCAAACAAGATGAACTCTAGACTCCCGGAGTGAAATAATCGCTTTATTTGTCCGATGTATGGCATTATACTCCTTCCCTATATATACAGGACTAATAACATAACTGCTAAAAAAGATACTAGGCTCATCTTTTGACGGTGCCAAGTTACCAATCTACCTAAGTTTAAATTGCTTAGCTAACATGAATACTTCAAAAATACATTTTGGTATGAACGTCAAGTAATATCATATTCTGTTAGCACCACTAACCACGGAAGCAACTTGATGATCGTAGTATTTATGAAGGCCCTATCTATAGAATATAAATCTCCTAGTCCTAGTATGCAATAACAAATAAAATAGAGATTCCAATAGGTACCTCCTACCTAGGCACAACCTTACTTAAGAATTACTGGTCAACCTAGAACCACAAAGTTGAAGTTGTTCTTTCATTATTACTTTACATTGTAAAACACGTTTGAATAAATAGTAGAATAGATGTTTATTGAAATAGGTACCAGGTTCTTGGAAGTAGGTCCATGGGCATCATTATAACGACCTTATGAGCTAGAAAAACTAAGACGTTCTTGTACCTTCAAATCCATTTATTTTATAACCATTTAAATATGAAATTTTCATCAAATTCTGAATAACTAAAATTAGTATGTAAAATAAAATAAAAAAGTAAAAATAATTTATTTCATCAACTATGTACATACCAACAAAATATTAGGAAAAAAGTATGTATCACGATAGTTATTATACAAACAAACGCAGAATTATTATAATTATACCCAAGTATTGAAGTTTTTGCTATTAAACGACTGAGCTCATCAGAGACGGCTGCTATTATCAAACTTCATATTCAACAGCTTTGCAAACACTAATCTAAACTTTAAAGTTGATTTGTTTGCTAATAAGAGAGTATTTAAGTTATTGCCTACCTTCTTACGTATAGCTAGAAAAATAATAACAATGTGGTCTTGATCGATTATTTTCATCATACATTGCGAAGTTCTAAACGATCAGCAACTACGTAGGATATTACAGTACATTATAGTACTTCCTGCGCAAGTAGGCCTACAGGCTACAGGTGCACCCTTTGTTTCTTCGCTCCTGGTTTAAAAGAGTTGCTTTAAGTTTAAAATAATACACTTTTAGTAACTATGGCTAGCTGTGTCATGTGACAAATGAATGGTATATCCAGTAGCACTTAATCATCACTAGTCTAGCCTTATGACAATAATATTTAAAGAAGTTATTAGAGTACATTGACGCACTAAACCAAAATCCTATACACTTAACACGTCTGTGCATAGCTAAAATTTTGCAACTTGATGAACAAGAAACTTGTTGGTCGATATTTTTTTCTCTGGTGTTTGACTAAGCTGTAGTGTCCAATATAATTCATAGAGTAGGTATAAATAAATTCGTAGAGCCCCATAAAGAAATCCAGGCGTAAAGAAAATTGTTAGTAATGCGAAAATATGTTTGTCGATCTTTCGCGTCATGTATAAATCATAACAAAGCGTTTTATTGATCGTAGGTATTACATATTTTGTGTCTGGAGATAGTGAGGCCGGGGTGATGTAAGCTACTTTGGTCACTAAGACGAATCAAGACAATTAATACCTGGATATTTCTTAGATCAAAAAAATTACTAATCAGTCTTATTTTAGCTAGAGACAAATTCTTAAGAATTATCATAAGTACAAAAACATAATTCAGTGAGCAATAGAAGTAAGCAAACAAACACTTGCGCATCGATGAGCATCAGCTCACTACTTTACCGAGCTAATGCAAACAGTAGGTAATAATTGTATTGACAAAATACTGTACATACCTACTACCTGCTTCTTCTAAGACGTTATAAATATCACATGCATTTAAATGTGTATATTTTTAATACGCTGTTATTAAATCGACCTATGCGTTACATATGTAATAAAATCTAACTATCTGATTATTGTATAACCATGAAACTTGACAATTATATATGTTGATAACATGATAATAAAATACAATACTAAGGTATCATCAAACTGGTTTTTATGATGGAACTGAAAAGTGGCTGATGGACCCTTGGGTTACCTACTAGTAAACATAATATCGAGTGTGGGCTCATTAGATATGTCCATTTCTCTGGATAAAGATCCAATTACCTCGCTCCCCAAACTCCCCAAATCTCTGAATCTCCAACAATCGTCATTTCCTAAGGCCAATATCCCTGAAAGGCCGGTAACGCACTTGTAACGTCTCTGGTATTTCGGGTGTCCATGGGCGGCGCCGATAACATACCATCAGGTGATCCGTATGCTCATTTACCGGCTTATCCCATAAAAAAGGAATATATATATCAATACAGCGGCGAAATACTACAGCCGTAGTTCGTAGTTCGTAGCTGGCAGCGCGTATCTCGTAGCGCGTAGTGCGTAGTTCATAACACGTAGTACGTAATTCGTAACGCGTAGTACATAGCTCGTAGCGCGTAGCTTCTAAGGCATAGTACGTAGCTCTTAGTGTGTAGTTCGTAGTTCGTAGCGGCGTTTTTTTTAATCTCGTAG